CCCGCGTCCCCTGCATCGGCAGGCGGACTCTCAAGCACTGCGCCACCAGGGAAGCCCTCTGGTTCTCTTTTAATGAAGAAAGCGGGTACAGGAAATAGGCTAAACCTGATATCATGATGTTATGTTCTCTTTTGCAATTTATACTGGGAAAAAGTTGTCAAGGTTTTCATATTTGGGGGGATAAGCTTTAAACAACCCCTGCACCCAGAACTGTGGTCCATAGACATGTTGGGGGCCTGCTGGGGCCCGGGAGCTCACTTATTTCCTGTCTGCGTTCAGAACATGACGAATACGGTGGTGAGGACCACGCTGAGGAACGACCTGTCCCCAGAGGGCATCATCCATCACCTGAAAATCCTGAGCCCTATCCACTGCGCCTTCCAGAATGACCTCCTGACGTCATCGGGCTACACCCCGGAGTGGGGGTAAGTGCAGAGGTGTCTCCCCAATTCCCTGCAGCTCACGTTCCTCCCAGCACCATCACTTGGGGGTTTCTTTAGGGTTTTAATCACTTGAGGACCCTTCTGAGAGACTGAACATACAAAAGGCAGTGGCCAAGATGATTAATAACTGCCAGCTTCCCTAGATTTGTCCCCATCTCCAGTTTCGAACCAACCAGGGAAAGCCAGATCTGTTCCCCTAGCCAGTCACATAGGACACCCCCATCAGGGCACACCTCTCTCCCCCTTTCCCCTGTGAAGCTCACCCCTCCTCTGCCTGCCTTTGAGTCTCCACCAAACTCTAGTGACCGGGGCTGACCCCAGCTCCAGCCAACTCAAAAAAAAAAATAGCTTTTCTTTTCTTGTTCTCATTTGGGTGGTCTTCTTTTAATTCCATCTTTCTTTGGAGTATTTTGGGGAGAAGTGGGAACAGGAGGGTCACAGAAGCAGAACCCACCCCCCACCCCGCAAATGCTCTCTCTTGCAGGGTTTACACCGTCATCGAGGACCTCCACGGCGCTGGAAGTTTTGTCACTGAAATGCAGTTATTTATTGGAGACTCTCCTATTCCTCAAAATTATACCGTGTCTGCCAGTGATGATGTCAAGATTGAAGTAGGGCTCTATAAACAGAAAAGCAACCTCAAGGTGGTCCTGACCGAGTGCTGGGCAACGCCATCCAGCAATGCCAGGGACCCGGTCATGTTTGGCTTCATCAACAACAGGTAGGGGCTCAGGGGGCACTGGGCACCCACCCCCCCTGTGTAGCTTTCTTTGGACCCTCTGAATTTCCAGACACGCATGGATGCAGACCTGGGTTTTAGGCGGTGCCCTCAGGAGACCCTCCTCTTGGGAACTGGACATCTAGCCATTCTTGCCTTCTTGTAGCCTAGTGGGGATGCTCTGTGTGCACTCAGGTGCACGGTAAGGAAACTCACCTGGGAACAAGGACAGGAGGGCCAGTTTAGAACTAATGAGTCACTTTGTCTCTTCCCAGCTGCCCTATCCCCAATACACACACGAATGTGATTGAGAACGGCAACTCCAACAAGGCCCAGTTTAAGCTGAAAATCTTTTCCTTCATCAACAACTCCATAGTCTATCTGCACTGCAAACTCCGCATCTGCATGGAATCCCCTGGAACCACGTGCAAAATAGTAGGTGTTTTGCTGTTCTAAACCTCTGGACTCACCCTCTTTGTTATGAGGAGGGTTGCTCTGATCAGAAGCTCAGGGCCTGGGCATTTCTGGGGCCAGACTTCAGGGAGGAGGTGCTGAGCCCTGCAGACTTGGCCCTTAAAAGACATGAAATGAGGTTTTAATGGTGGGCAGTCCTGGGTGAGGACCAGTGTCGCTGGGGGGCTAACTTGAGTCCTTCCTTAGACCTTACCATTCCACTGGCCATCACATCAGACCTTCCTTGTCATGGTGCTGTAATGTTTCTCCTTCGAGGTGATCGAATGCATACTTAGGTGTAAAAATATTATTTTAATTTGAAATTATTTTTAGCAAGTCGGTGGCACACTGCTGAATCCTAGCCACTAGGTTATTTAGTCAGGTTTTTGTTCTTTCCAGTTCAGCATTTATGCTGGGATTATGAATAACTTTACATTCTCATTTCCTCAGAACTTTGAATTTGAAAAGTGCTTTGCACTTCTGGGTTGGAGAGTTATTCTTCATCCACAGACAAGTATGTGAAGTGACTGTCATGTGTCACCTGTGGTTGGCGAAAGCATGGAGGGCTCTGTTGGCCTTTGGTTCAGCATATTTCTCTCTCCTTTGGGGACACGTTTGTTCCTGTGCTCCTTACAAAACTTGGGCAGTTTTCCTGGGTGATCAGGGCCAAACATCAGTCAGAATGCACAGCAGAAGAAATCCAGTGAGTCCTGATTTTGCTGTCACTTTTTCTCAAACAGTAGGTCTACTGGAACAACAGCAGGAAAGGAACACGCACTCCTGGTGCCTGCCCGCTGAGGGGCTCCGAGCCTGTATCAGCCCCTTAGAAACCCTAGGGTGTTAATGACCATGACAGCTTTGACAGGGAGCAGCCGGTTCTCAAATTCTCTACACTATGAGCTTCACGTATTTCTTTCCAAGCTCCTCTAGGATGGGTGTTGTATTGGTTTCCTGGGGCTGCTGTAACAAAGTACCTCAGGCTGGGCAGCTTAAATAACATAAATCTACCCTCGCACAGTCTGGAGGCTGGAAGTCCGAGATCAAGGTGTCGTCGGCTGGGCTGTTCCTTGTGAGGCTGTGGGAGAATCTGTTCCAGGTCCAGCTCCCTGACTGATCGATGTCACCTTCTCCCTGTGTCTTCATATGTCTTCCCTCTGTGCATATCTGCATCTGTGTTCAAATGTCCTCTTTTTGCAAGAACACAGTCCTATTGGATTAGGGCCACCCTACTGACGTCATCTTAACGCGATCATCTGCAAAGACCCTATTTCCAAATAAGGTCACGTCCACAGGTACTGAGGTTAGGACTGCAACATCTTTTGGGGGACACAATGCACCCCATAGCAGGTGTATGGTAGACAGATTCTATCATGTCATTGAAACTTTTCGTCAGGCCAAGGTATTAAAAGGAGCAGGTGTCTGCCGCAGGCTGTGGAGAACAAAGGGTGACTCTGAGACGATGCCCCCAGGGGCCAAGGGGCCAGAGCTGGAAACTGGAGATAGCACAGGGGGCTACATCTTGCTTCCTCCAACCCTCCTGCTGCCCAGCCCTCCCCCATCCAGTTGGGCACCCTGCCTGCACATCCCCGAGGCCCAGGTGGTCCAGCCTCCCCTGACCGAGCTCATCCATCGTGACTTGACGTTTCCAGCAGGAAGGAACATGTACGAATCAGAGTATCAACCCTGATAGTGGGTACGTTTCTCATAAACATTGTTCAGCTAATTTGTACTTTTTCTCCTTTTAAAATTACAGAACTGCGACGACTTTCGGTCGCTGAGAAATGGTGAGCCCTCTGCAACGCACCAGATGTCCTGGGGACCCCTGATTCGGTCCGAAGGTGAGCTGGTGACTTGGTTTAGACAACTAAACTTGGGTATTGATTCAGAAACTGCTAGCAGTCCCCAAATATCTGTTCTCTTCTCCTTCCATGGTAATAGAACCCCCAGTTTTTAGGGGACAGGTGGCTGCCAGGAATAAAAACTATAATTCCCAACTGACCTCACAGCAAGAGTGGCCATATGAATGAGCTCTGGCTAATGAGATGCAAAAGAGAGTGTCAAGTGACAACTTTTTTTTTTTTTACATCTTGATTGGAGTATAATTGCTTTACAATGGTGTGTTAGTTTCTGCTTTATAACAAAGTGAATCAGTTATACATATACATACATCCCCATATCCCCTCCCTCTTGCGTCTCCCTCCCTCCCTCCCACCCCTCTAGGTGGTCACAAAGCACCGTGTGCCTGCCTTATAAACATTCCGGTACCCACCCGGCTGCCTGACATTCAGGGGAGGCGGCTGCAGGCAGCCGCCATCTGGGGGCATGAGCACTGTGGAGGCGGGAGCCGGGAGCCCCAGGACACCGTGGAGCGAAGCTGCAGGGCCAGGCCTGGGCTCTGGCCTCCGATGTTTATGCCAGAAAGAAATAAGCTTCCATTTTCTTTGTCGCTGCTATTTTGGGTTTTTCTCTTCCTTTCGGCTAAACCTAATCCTAGTTGACTTTCCTTTTTTATTGTTTTTCTTCCAAACTTGGATGGCCCTCCTTGCCTCCCTATTTTCCCATACAGGAACTTCCGGGTTTTGGATACAGGGTGTAAACCGGGATGGGTGTGCTAACCAGGGCTTGGGAAGGGAGGTCTTTTTTTTTTTTTTTTGTGGTACGCGGGCCTCTCACTGCTGTGGCCTCTCCCGTTGAGGAGCACAGGCTCCGGATGCGCAGGCTCAGCGGCCATGGCTCACGGGCCCAGCCGCTCCACGGCATGTGGGATCTTCCCGGACTGGGGCACGAACCCGCGTCCCCTGCATCGGCAGGCGGACTCTCAACCACTGCGCCACCAGGGAAGCCCCAAGGGAGGTCTTCTTAGCCAGTGATATTCAACTGCTGATTCTCATCCAGAGGATTTTGGAAATGAAAATAAAAGTCACAGGTCCCAGGCCATGCCCCAGGCCAACCAACTCAATGTCTCTGGAGCTAGATTCCAGGCCCTGGTGTTTGCACCAGTCCTCGGACGATCGCTGGCCTGGGTCCTGGGACAATGTGCCTTTCCTATTCTCTTCTTTGTCTTAAATGGCTGAGAACTGATGGATCTAATATGAAAGAGAATGTATGTGAATTGCATTCTTATTTATAGAAACAGAACTTCTATTTATTTGTAGATATTACAGATAATATCAAAACTAGAGTGCAAAAAACACTGGGTTTGGAGTCAGGAGGCCTGTGTTTAAATATAGGCTCTCGTACTTTGGAGCTGTGTGGTCTTAGGGATATTCCTGAGTCTTCTGAGTCCCATCCGTCCATCCATCATTCCTCCATCCATCCACTCACCTACCCACTTATTCATTATCTCCTCTGTGCTTTTTCTCTACATCATAGGAGTTATTACAACAGTCCTACATACCTGGCCAATAAGATTACAGTAAATAAAAATCCTCTGTGAGGCTAAAATTTGTGATGCTGGAGCTAGGTTGCCTGGAGACAAAACTTGGGTCTGACTTCGGGCATGCTGCCTCATTTGCCTCATCTGTAAAATGGGGACAACAATAATGATGATAGTAATTCCTAGTTCATACGGTGCGTTGTCCATAGCAATTACTAGTAAGTGTTATTTATTATCCTTCCTAACCGGTAGTGCACTTTACTAACACAACCATTGCAGAGAACCCCAAACACAATAAGGGTGTAGACGGTCAAGCTCAATGACAAGGATTATAATTACTCATTTTGTCCATCATTCTTTCTCATTGTATTATTAGATTTTTTGCTTCATAACTGTGTCATACAAATATACAGAAAAATCATTTAGAAACTTGGAATCTCTCAGCTGGTAGGCAGGTGATTACATTTTAATAGTGTGTAGTAACAGAAATACTGCTGGAGACACAGAGTGAAAAGAGACTGGCAGACAAGTACCTCTGGGATTTTATCTCTGCCCCTCCCACTGGGCACCCATGACCTGTCCCCTGCTATCACATCACTTCTACTCTGGGGAAGAATGAGAACACTGAGAGATCTCAGGGAACATGTCCAAGCTCACACAGCTGTCACCTGGACAAGCTGGGCCTCTCCCAGCACTTCCAGGCTTTTCCTAACCCACCCACCCTTGGTCTCCAGGGGCTTCCCTGGCTTCCTTTCCAGGGGTCAGTCCACCCCAGCCTTCACACCACGGGTGTTCGTTTTCTGGGGCTAGTGACACAGGAAACTAAGAATCACAAACCGCGTGGCTTAAAATAACAGAAACTACTCTCTCACAGTCTGGAGACCCAAGTCCAAGGTCATGGCGTGGGCAGGGCTGGTTCCTTCCAAAGTCCCTGAGGGAGAATCCGTTCTAGGCCTCTGTCCCAGCTTCTGGTGATTCTGGTCTGGCAGCCTTGGCTTGTGGCTGCATCCCTCCAGCCTCTGCCTCTGTATCACATGGTTTTTCCTGAAGGTCTCTGTCTTCTTACAAGGACACCAGTCATTGAATTAGGGGCCTCTTCTGCTTCAGTATAACTTAACTAAAGATGTCTGCAATGACCCTATTTCCAAATAAGGTCACATTCTCAGGCACTGGGGGTTAGGACTCAACACACTTGCTTTGGAGGGATACACTTCAACACATAACGCTGTGTGTTGGCAATTTTAAGGCAGCATCCAACTGGTAATCATTCCTGAATCTGTGCTACCAACAAATCATATATCGGCACTGTAATTTTTGCACTTAATTTTTGGAAATCATCCATGGCCATTTGCTTTATAGAGAACATTATTTCTCACTCACTAGAGTTTTTTTTGTTTTTTTTTTTTGGCGGTATGTGGGCCTCTCACTGTTGTGGCCTCTCCTGTTGCGGAGCACAGGTTCTGGATGCGCAGGCTCAGCGGCCATGGCTCACGGGCCCAGCTGCTCCGCGGCATGTGGGATCCTCCCGGACTGGGACACGAACCCGTGTCCCCTGCATCGGCAGGCGGACTCTCAACCACTGCACCACCAGGGAAGCCCCACTAGAGTTTTGTGTGTGAAGAGGTAGAGAATGTTTGAGATTAATGTCTGTGGGATCCTGAAATGTCCCAGTGGGAAGGGTCTGGAACAATTATTGAGGCAGCTCAGAAGTGAGGGGCCTGGGTGTCCCCAGAGAACAGCTGAGCTGGACCTCAGACCTCTGGAAGGACCTGGACCCTCTGGAAGGGGCCAGGGTTATATGTACCCTGCTCCTGGGTTATTTGCATGGCGGGAGGTCCTCCATCACTTTCCCTCACCAAGATGTGTCTCCTTCACAAGAGCAGCGATAGGTTAGTGTCTTTGCGAAAAGCTGGATCATGGGCATCACCACCGTGATATCACAGCAGCCCTGTGCGTGGTGCGCTGCTCTTGCTATCCTGGGGGAGGACCAGTGTCTTTTATTTAAGCATCTCGTCCATCATGAACTGACAGATGGTTACTATGTTTAAGGAAATACCCCCACTGATGGCGCGGGTCACGTTGCGACACAGGGTCCCTCTCTATTTGTAAGCATCTCTCCTGGACCAGTAACCGTTCCTGGACCATGGTAACAAGTGGATGGCACCGGCCTGTGGACCCCACTCAGAGCAGCTCTGAGTCAGTGGCCAGTTAAGAGTGCTCGGCTGCAGGGAACAGAAACCCAGCTGGAGAGGCAGCGACCGAACACGTTCGGTCATCTCTGTAGCTGCCAGTCTGGGGCTGGGGCTGGGCTCCACGGGGCCAACAAGGGGGTCTCTTCTGCCTTTCTGCTCCAGCATCCTCAGGGCAGACAGCCCCCCTTGTGCTCACAAGTTGGTCCCCTACATGAGGCACAGGAGAAAGGGGAAGTGTCCACTGTAGCACCCACTGGAGGATGGATTTAAGATCCAGCCATGAAGGGGTTGTCAGGAAGCTGGTGCCCCAGAGTCTGGAGGCCTCAAGTTCCTTGGGAGATTGCAGCCACTCCAGCAACTGTCCCCAGTATCCCTATCCCAGTGTGGTTCTCCGTTTGGAGGAGGGGGTTGCCCTGTTCCAGCTGGCCCACCATCCAGGCAGTCTGGTGGGAGCCTCTTCTAGGCCATTGTTGAATCACTTTGGTGTCTGCACTCGTCTGAGCCATGACTGGGAGACCCGGAGCAGCGGCCACTTCTGTAAACAGCCCCAGAAATGGAAAACGGGATCTCCAGTGTCCCTTATTGGCCAGGAATGCTTCCCTACCCAGACCTTTCTGATAAGCTCCTGTGGTAAAATTGAGATAAAATTCACCTAATATAAAGTTAACTGTTTTAAAAGAAGTAATTGGACGGAATTCAGCACCTTCACCACCCTTCTCTAGTTTCAAAACATTTTTGTCACCCAAAGCAGCTCCATGCCCACAGGAGGGAGTGACTCCCCAGCCCTTCCCCTGCCCCTGAAACTACCTGGGTTGGCTTCCTGTCTCTGGTTTCCCTAGAAACAGGGTCACACGACGATGTGTGGTCCTTGGAGACTGCTGCCTGTCACTCAGCACAATGGATGTTTTCAAGGCTCATCCATGTCATAACCTGTGGCCGAATCTCATTCCTTTTATGGCCGAATATTATTCCACTGGGTGGATGGACCACATATTGTTTATTCATTCATCCTTTGACGGATTTGGGGGCTGTTTCCCCCTTTCGGCTGTTCTGGATATGCTGCTATGTGGCCGAGTGTATGAGTATTTATTGAGTCCCTGTTTTCAGCAGTTTGGGGTCCAGGCTCTCCTGTGCTTTCCTGCCCCCAAGTGCGGGGAAGGCCAGCTTCTCGGTGCTGTGCAGTGTGTGGGCACAGTGTGTCTCTGTGCAGGGCACGCTGAGTGCTCTGCCCCGACCTGGAGAGCCTGTGGCTCCCGTGCGGCCTCCTTCCTCTTGGTCAGAGATTATACAGAACGTGGGCAGGCAGACCTGTCCTGGCTGCTGTGTTCTCCTGGGCTTGGGGCGGGGGCACGGGCACGCTGAACGTCTGACGCGTGAGAGCTTGCTCCATCGCGGGTTTGTCCCGTCCCGAGCCCTCCATCCAGGGGTGATGCTGCGGCCCCGCTGGGACCAGGCCGAGCTGCTTTGGACAGACCACCCACCTGCGCCTGTTTCATCCCTGCAGGAGAACCTCCAGCTGCAAAGCTGGGCCTGCGAGCCAGTTACCTGGTCCTCATGCTGGTGGCTGCCTTTGCCTTGGTGGCGGGGCCAGCTGCCCTTCTCATCATGCGCTACCAGAGAATGACCGGAAAATACAACCTCAAAACCCAGTCCGACAACTTCAGCTACCAGGTGTTCCACGAATAAGGAGCCCGGCTGCTCGCAGGTGCGTGAGGAGGGAGGCCCATCTCGTCTGATGCACCAGTCCTGCCTTTGCCACCGAGGGTGCCTGCACAGTGCCTCCCGCGGGGTTTGGCAAAGGGTAGATTTGTGGGTTTCGGCGGCTCATGCCTGTGATACTGTGATTTATAATCAGAAATATATACTTGGTCTTCACCCACTGCTCCTGGCACAGAGGTCCTGAAACCCTTGGAATTTCTTAAGTGCTGAGGGTGGTAAAGGTGTTTTTGTTATATTAGTGAGGTGACCTTTGGCCTGTGCCTTAGAATGGGGGCCGGTTGCTGGGAGACACTGCCGCGTGATTAGAGGGCTAGGTGTGCTCTGCTGAGGCTCCAGGTAGGGGGCGAACAGCGGTAACTTCAGTTCAACTTTCCTCTAATAATAAAGATAACAGCTGCCTTGGGGGGGTGCCTTCCAGTCTGCTTGGGGGCCCGCAAGGTTTGGTCACGAAGACCCTCCCACTTCCCCATCCTATTCCATTCTGGCCCCGTCGGGGGTCCTGTCACGTGGACATGCCCTGCAGTGGCTGGCCCAGGTCCCTGTTTCCTGCCTGGGTCAGCAGCGTCCCCCACTGGGCCACCTTCCCCACGTTCGGCTCTTCATTCTCTCGAGATAACGGACCTTTGATACAACTCCTCAAAGTGTGGCAGTTCCTGGCCTCATCCCTTAAATGAGGAAAGGGGGCTCAGAGAGCTCAAGTGAATCACCCCCATCACACAGCAGAGGCGGGGTTACAACGCACTTCACCACAAGGCAACGTCCCTTTCTGGGTGACTTGAGCGTCGTCAGAGAAAATGTCACCTCCTTCAGGGGCTGGTCCTGGAGACACTGGAAACGTGATGTCTTCACCCTGTCTCAGCCCCCTTTGCTCCAAGGACCCAAGAGCTCACATGATTCCAGGGCCTCGGAGCTCTTACAGCCTGGATGGGGAGGGTTGGACCAGGGCCAATCACCTCCCCGCATAGAATCGCAAGGGAATTTCAGCAACTTTTACTTAATATTTAGAAAATGAATTCCAACAAGGAGGCCAACACTTGTCCTGGAGAATTTCTAAGGAAATCTTGTGTGTTGGTGCCTCAGCCGTGCTGGATGGCCCCCACCTCGAAATTAAAACACTAGAGGGAAAATTGGCCCCTTTTCTTATTCTCCTGAGACTTCTGTCTTCCAAAGTAAAAAATATCTATATCTGGTTCTCAAGTTCCTGAAAAAATCTGCTTTTTGAAAATCTCAAACAAATAAACATCCCCAAGGTTGGCAGTTGGTACAGCCCCACTCGGTGATGAGCCCCATGTCCGGGTGGGTGGTCCACAGATAGTGCAAAGGCACAGAGCCCCGAGGGTGTGGCCGTCTGGCTCAGGTGTGTGTACCTGTCTCACCTGACTGCTGACCTGCGGGAGCGGCACTCACCAGAGACCGGGGTTCCTGTGCCTCCTGGGATTCGCTGCCCTTTTATTTGGGCCCAATCTCTCACTATTCGGCAAGCACAGATGTCAGGTCCTGGGGGTTGTGGGTAACCTCCGTGACCCACTCTGGGCTTTCCAGCATCAACCCCACCTTTCCTGCCACAGACTGACGCAGGCAATCTCCTTCCCCACACAGGTAGCCATGAATCAAGCTCCAGTCTTCACTCAAGCGTTGATGGCAGCCTGCTCTGTCCCTCATCCAGAGCCTGGAAAAGCTCCAGGAGTGGTGAAAACACAGGCTCTGCCTGCCCCCAGGAGGCCCGTCCTCTGCCTGGGTCTCAGACGAGACAGCACCAGGTGGGCTAGCAGGGCTGTTGGAGAAGCAGGCCAGGAGCTGGATGCCCAGAGCCTCAGACGCAGGGATCTTCGAACCAAGCTCGAACGCAGCTCTGCCGTCACGCAATCGCCTCCACCACACAGAGCTCCCAGGCCCCTTACCACCCTAAGTGGTCCAGGCAGCCCTTCCTGGCTTTGCTCACCGTTGACATCTATCACCTACCACCCACCCACCCACCCATCCATCCATCCATTTGACCCTCTGTCAAATACATAACATTTCACATTTTCAAAACTATTGGACAGTGCAGTTGAAGTTCTTTTAAAAATAGGTGAGTCATTGAAATTGGGTCATTTGTAGAGACGTGGATGGACCTAGAGACTGTCATACAGAGTAAGTCAGAAAGAGAAAAACAAATATTGCAAATTAACGCACATATGTGGAATCTAGAAAAATGGTACAGATGAACCGGTTTGCAAGGCAGAAATAGAGACACAGATGTAGAGAATAAACATATGGACACCAAGGAGGGAAAGCGGGGGTGGGCCGGTGGTGGTGGGATGAATTGGGAGATTGGGATTGAACATGTATACACTAATATGTATAAAATAGATAATTAATAAGAACCTGCTGTATAAAAAAATACAATTAGATAAAAAAATAAAAATAGGTGAGTCATAAAAATACTGCCAATGTGATTTTTAGTAGACATATATACTCTTAAACTTTTGTCCTACATTACTAGGATATTGTTTTTATTTACACAGCAGTGACTCAAAAGGCACTCTATTAATATGAAAATTTTTATAGCAAGTAGAAATAACATTATATATATCCTTATTTTATATTGTTCCAAGCACTTTCACAGATATTAAAATAAATAATTTTACCAGGGGTAAGGCACTATTTACCCACTGCATAATGGGAAACCGGAGAAGGAATGGGTGAGTTATTTACATAAGTTTACAAAATGAGTTCATGAGGAAATAGGTCTAGAATCTAAGTATTTTAGTCTAGAATTTTCTTCATTACACCATGCTAACTGGTAACGCTTTTCACTTTATTTAAAGCAAATGGAATTGTATTTGATACCTAACGCCTGAGAGGATAGTGTTTTTCCGTGATGAACTTAGAATTATATCTAACAGGGTTTTAGTATTTTTTTTTCATTTCTCAAGCTTTTATTTAATTAAAAAGAAATTTTTAATAGATCTTTGTTGGAGTATAATTGCTTCACAATACTGTGTTATTTTCTGTTGCACAACAAAGAGAATCAGCCATATGCATACACATGTCCCTATATTCCCTCCCTCTTGTGTCTCCCTCCCACCCTCCCTATCCCACCCCTCTAGGTGGTCGCAAAGCACCGAGCTGATCTCCCTGTGCTATGCGGCTGCTTCCCACTAGCTATCTATTTTAAATTTGGTAGTGTATATATGTCGATGCTACTCTCACTTGCCCCAGCTTCCCCCTCCAATCCAATGTCCTCAAGTCCATTCTCCATGTCTATCTCTTTATTCCTGCCCTGCAGCTAGGTTCATCAGAACTTTTTTTTTTTTTTTTAGATTCCATATATATGTGTTCGCATACAGTATTTGTTTTTCTCTTTCTGACTTACTTCACTCTGTATGACAGACTCTAGGTCCATCCACCTCACTACAAATAACTCAGTTTCATTTCTTTTTATGTCCGAGTAATATTCCATTGTATACATGTGCCACATCTTCTTTATCCATTCATCTATCGATGGACATTTAGGTTGGTTCCACGTCCTGGCTATTGTAAATAGTGCTGCAATGAACATTGTGGTATATGTCTCTTTTTGAATTACGGTTTTCTCAGGGTATATGCCCAGTAGTGGGATTGCTGAGTCATATGGTAGTTCTATTTTTAGTTTTTTAAGGACCCTCCATACTGTTTTCCATAGTGGTTGTATCAATTTACATTCCCACCAACAGTGCAGGAGGGTTCCCTTTTCACCATACCCTTTCCAGCATTTACTGTTTCTAGATTTTTTGATAATGGTCACTCTGACCAATGTCAGGTGATACCTCATTGCAGTTTTGATTTGCATTTCTCTAATAATTTGTGATGTTGAGCATCTTTTCATGTGCCTCTTGGCCATCTGTATGTTCCTTGGTGAAATGTCTCTTTAGGTCCTCTGCCCATTTTTTAACTGGATTGGTTGTTTTATTGATATTGAGCTGCATAAGCTGTTTGCATATTTTGGAGATTAATCCTTTGTCTGTTGTTTCATTTGCAAATATTTTCTCCCATTCTGAGGGTTGTCTTCTTGTCCTGTTTATGGTTTCCTTTGCTGTGCAAAAGCTTTTAAGTTTAATTAAGTGCCATTTGTTTATTTTTGTTTTTACTTCTGTTACTCTAGGAGCTGGGTCAAAAAAGATCTTGCTGTGGTTTATGTCAAAGAGTGTTTTTCCTATGTTTTCCTCTAAGAGTTTTATAGTGTCTGGTCTTACATATAAGTCTTTAATCTATTTGGAGTTTATTTTTGTGTATGGTGTTAGGTAGTGTTCTAATTTCATTCTTTTACATGTAGCTGTCCAGTTTTCCTAGCACCACTTATTGAAGAGGCTGTCTTTTCTCCATTGTATGTTCTTGCCTCCTTTGTCGTAAATTAGGTGCCCATATGTGCCTGGGTTTATCTCTGGGCTTTGTATCCTGTACCATTGATCTATATTTCTGTTTTTGTGCCAGTACCATACTGTCTTGATTACTGTAGCTTTGTGGTATAGTTTGAAGTTGGGGAGCCTGATTTCTCCAACTCTGTTTTCCTTTCTCAAGATTGCTTTGGCTCTTCGGGGTCTTTTGTGTTTCCATACAAATTGTGAAATTTTTTGTTCAAGTTCTGTGAAAAATGCCATTGGTAGTTTGATAGGGATTGCATTGAATCAGTAGATTGTTTTGGGTAGTATAGTGATTTTCACAATATTGATTCTTCTAATCCAAGAACATGTATATTTCTCCATCTCTTTATGTCATCTTTGATTTCTTTCATCAGTGTTTCATAGTTTTCTCAGTACAAGTCTTTCACCTCCTTAGGCAGGTTTATTCCTAGGTATATTATTCCTTTTGTTGCGTTGGTAAATGGGAGTGTTTCCTTAATTTCTCTTTCTGATTTTTCATTGTTGGTGTATAGGAATGCCAGAGATTTCTGTAAATTAATTTTGTATCCTGCAACCTTACTAAATTCATTGATTAGTTCTAGT